AGGTCCAAGGTTACTCAAAAAGTTCCTATTAACTTGTCAGGTTTTACAGTGTAATTGAGACTATACCAAATGTGCCTTTGGTGCATTCCCTCTCCTGTATACGCCTGGACGTTTTTGAACAGGGGAAGCCCAAACGGTCCAATATACAGGTGCAGAAAAACAGAGCGAAGGGAAGGACAGGAGGGAATTCCTCCTGTTTTATCTCACCTATCAACAGCTAGAATTTTAATTTTAATGGGTAGAAAGACCTTAAATATGTTTTTAGTACAGATTAATTTGTCTGAGGTTTTAATTTTTAATGTAGTCTGTATCGTATGGAACGGGTGAAGATCCAGATGTGACCAGGCGTGGCATCCATGTTGGCTGTATCCTGGGTTTACTCGAGCTCTGTTGGAAGGATCGGTGCGTTTCTCCCACAGTCCAAAGGCAAGGCATTGGCCCCGAAATGTGCGCCATGTGGGAAATGAGTTGGTTACTGAGCACTTCATTGTGATACTGGATACATGTTTCTGTTAAATAAAGTACCATAATCTAATATTAAGGTGTAGCTATAATCCAAGCTGTATTTGCATAGGATGTAGGGTGTGCTGGCTTGGGAACTGGCACATTCCCTACACATGGGGGAAGAGAGAAACTCCAGTTAGGCAGCATGTGAACATGCCACAGCTCTCAGTAAACAGATTTAAAAGCTTTCAGACTAGGTAAAACACCGGGGGTTACGTATGTAACCCTAGTTACTATAAGCACAGGCGAGCCCTCTACTGGAACTCTATGGGTACTACTCTCTATCAATGCTGTGCCGTGCTTTCACCTACTGAGTTTACGTAAACGTAGCCGGCCCAAAATCGGGGCGAGCCTACCTGAATGCGCGCGCAGGCCCACAGTATATAAGGCGGCTACACCCGCCGACCACTATCCTATACACTCTTCAGCGAGCGGACTAGGAAAGACAGGGCCCCCAGGTAGAAGGCTTCGCCTGTGCTTATATAACTAGGGTTACAATACGTAACCCCCTGTTATATTTCACACAGGCGGAGCCCTCTACTGGACTCTATGGGTACAGTGGGCAGAGGCCGGATGTATACACGCCCTGTCATCCAACAACATCGACCCACAACACCGTCCCTGACCGGCTTTGGCTAAAATCCATAGCATCCCCACTTCCTCCCATCCGGTTGTAACCGTAGAGAAGTCAAGGCCGCAATTTGGATAAGGCACACTCACACAGCTTACTTCGTGTAGAGTGTGCATGGAAAAGATCTGTGCGGAGACTCCATCTGGAGCCTACCGCGCACCATGTACCCCAGGTCCCTTAGGAGCATGGGAAAACATAAGTGCACCACGTCACCCACACTCACACACGCTCCGTGTAGAGTGGGCATGGACAATAGTGAGGAAGGCTCCCCCAGCCTGCCTCCAGCCCTGTATGAGGCTGATTGCGCACCATGTCTCCCGAGTCCCTCAGGAGCATGGGAAAACACAAGTGCTTTATGTCCAGGGGGGGAGGGGGGGTCAGACACCTGCTGACCCACAGCCACCCCCCTTCTCACCAGTCATGCGTTGCCTCGACAAGCACAGACGACGAGAAGGAGCCAGACATGTCCAGGAGATAACATTTTATGAAGGAGCCTGGCGTAGACCAAGACGCTGAATAAGGCTGTTGACACAGCCACAGCCCGTGTAGAATGTGCACGGACCCCAGTGGGTAGGGCTCTCCCCGCCCGTCCATAGGCATGTGTAATGCACTCGCAGAGCCATCCTGCTAGGCACTTCTTGGAGAGAGCTTTTGCAGCCACACCATCCCCAAAGCACACAAACAGTTGTTCAGTGCGCCTAATGGTAGCCGTGCGCTCTACATAGCATGCTAGCGCTTGCACTGGGCAGAGGAGGTGCAACTTAGCCTCCCTGGCCCCAACATGGGGTGGAGGATTAAAGCCACCTAACTGAATAGCNAATCAATATATGATTGGTTGATCAAACTGTCAGTCCAAACGTATGCTCTCATTCAGTGCAACGGCCAGGGCATTCGATCAAGGATGGAGAATACCTTAGTTGAAGGATATTCTACCCAGAGACCCAGAACAAGATCTGATTGGTTGCTTTCTTTTCTAACACAAAACCACTGAAATGCGTAGTGCATGGTCCNCCTTCGATCAAGGGTGTAGAATACCTTGGTTGAAGGATATTCTACCCAGAGACCCAGAACAAGATTTGATTGGTTGCTTTCTTTTCTAACACAAAACCACTGAAATGCGTAGTGCATGGTCCGAGAAGGACAAACAAATCAACGTAACACTGTAATATTACAGATCAATAACACAGATACCATTCTCATTTATTCATTTTATTTATATAATTAAATCGATTTTTTGTTTGTTTTATCTGAGTGTTCCAGGCTATTCGGTTCACCACTGCCTTTGGAGGACCTGTGTGTCTGTATGTGTTGATGTCTGTATGTGTGTGATTGTTTTCAGGTAGTAATGTGATGAGGTCCATTCATGGCGTAGGAGAGCTGATGTCCCAAGTTGTCCTGAGAGGAGGGGGCTTCCTCCCAACAACTTCAAACACCAGCTCCACTGGAGACAAAGTGAAGACCCAGACTGAGCCTGAGAAACAGGACATACTGGTCATGGACACCAAGCTCAAGATCATTGAGATCCTGCAGGTGAAAGACATGCAGTATTTTTATTGAATGCACGTGAAAGCATATAGTACAGTAGATTCAGTACACATACTGTAGATTGCATACTCAAACACAATACTTCCATCCTCTAAAACATTCATATACAACTTTCTGCCCGTCCCTGCAGTTCATCTTGAATGTCCGGCTGGACTACAGGATCTCCTGCCTGCTGTCTATATTCAAGAGGGAGTTTGATGAGAGTAACTCCCAAACTGAGTTGTCTGTAACTGGAGCAGTGGAAGGACCGAACAATATGCCAGGTCAGGGTAACATTCATGGCTGCATTTTAGAAAGATGCTGGGCCAATAAAAGAGACTCTGCTGGTTACATTAGTTGTTTTCTCTATTCCAGGGGCTTTGGATTTCGAGCACATCGAAGAGCAGGCAGAGGGGATATTTGGTGGAAGGTAAACCCAGTCGAAATACATGAAAAGTCACAAATACATAAAGATGTGTTTTTTATTTCAGTTTGTGTTATGTGTCTAGTGAAGAGAACACCCCTCTGGACCTGGATGATCAAGGTGGCCGTACCTTTTTGAGGGTCCTTCTTCACTTAACCATGCATGACTATCCTCCTCTGGTGTCCAGAGCCCTCCACCTGCTCTTTAGGCACTTCAGCCAGAGGCAGGAGGTCTTGCAGGCTTTTAAGCAGGTATACAGCGACAACTGAAGCAATGGATATCACACCATTTGAGCTAGTTTGTTGTGCATGTCATTATTTTAACCACCTTTCATACAACACCAAATGCATTTCAAATAAATGCTTGAATCAGCGTCTTCTTGATATCTTTCTGCTCTGTTATTGATATTGTAACATTTGTGTTTGCAGGTCCAGCTGCTGGTCACCAGCCAAGATGTGGAAAATTACAAGCAAATAAAGTCAGACTTGGACCAGCTTCGCTCTATTGTAGAGAAGTCTGAGCTCTGGGTGTACAAGAGGCAGGGGCCAGACGAGGGCATGGACGCTGGAGAGGGGCTCTCCTCTGAATCAGAGCATAAAAAGGTGATTTATATTGTACATCAAAAGAATTGCACACTAACACTGAAAAGCCTGTTGCCACAAGATAACTGGTTGGGAGGGGTATGGTCTCTTCCCTGATGCTTTGTGTCTGTTATACTGTGTAGGGGGACTCAGGGGGCACAGACAAACCGAAGAAAGCAGAAAGCACCAGCAGTTACAACTACAGGGTAGTAAAGGAGGTAATTCTCTTACTTTTAAGTATGGTTAACAAGCTTTTATCTGCCTCTGTTGCAAATGTTGTTTCACAGCCCTATAGACCCTTTTCAACATAACACATCTTCTTTCTTTCTTTTTCAGATCCTGCTGCGGCTCAGCAGGCTTTGTGTCCAGGAAGGCCTGTCGGGTAGAAAGAGCAAGAAACAGCAACAGAGGCTGCTGAGGAACATGGGGGCTCATGCTGTCGTCCTGGAGCTCCTACAGATCCCCTACGAGAAGGTATTAATCAATGTCACTTTCAAAAAAACCTCTCAATGGCAAGTAGACACAACTTCTCATCAGCTTGTTTCCCCTCTAGGGAGAAGACTTGCGTATGCAGGATATCATGAAGCTAGCTCACCAGTTTCTACAGAATTTCTGCGCAGGAAACCAGCAGAACCAGGCCCTGCTGCACAAGCACATCAATCTTTTCCTCAACCCAGGGGTGAGCAGTCCTGCCAGGTTGCACAGTGTTACCCTCGTACTATCATTCCCATCATGCTCCTTTTTTGTTTTTCAGATTTTAGAAGCTATCACCATGCAACACATCTTCATGAACAACTTCCAGCTGTGCAGTGAGATCAATGAGCGTGTGGTTCAGCACTTTGTCCACTGCATCGAAACACACGGCCGCAACGTGCAGTATCTCAAGTTCCTTCAGACTATTGTCAAAGCAGAGAATAAATTCATCAAAAAGTGTCAGGACATCGTCATGGCAGAGGTCAAGCCTTGTTACCATCTTTCGAATGTTTGAACTATGCTACAGTCTCCTGATTCCCAGGTGTAATTGTGTGTTTTTGTTTCTTCCTACAGCTGGTGAATGCTGGCGAGGATGTTCTGGTCTTCTATAATGACCGCGCCTCCTTCCAGACACTGGTCCAGATGATGCGATCAGAGCGGGACCGCATGGATGAGAACAGTCCTCTGATGTACCACATACATTTGGTGGAGCTCTTGGCTGTCTGCACTGAGGGAAAGAATGTCTACACAGAGATCAAGTGTAACTCTCTGTTACCCCTGGATGACATAGTGCGGGTGGTGACCCATGAGGACTGCATCCCTGAGGTGAAACAAAGATTTGACTGCATCTGTAAAAGTAAACGATAAGCCAGATATGGAGCAGATTCAGCAAACCATCATAAAACAATTCACAAAACAACTCTCTCCTTGAATATTCTTTTTATTATTATTTTGACTGTCAAAGACCCTTGACCATCACTGCATTTTAACAATAAACTCAATCTTAACATTTCAGGTGAAGATTGCCTATATCAACTTCCTGAACCACTGCTATGTGGACACTGAGGTGGAAATGAAGGAGATCTACACCTCTAATCACATGTGGAAACTCTTTGAGAACTTCTTGGTAGACATTTGCAGGGTAAGTAATATCCAAATTCTCTCTGGCTACTTGTCACCTAATTTAAAATATAAGGATTTATAAATCAAATGCTTTTGGTTATGTTTTGGTGCCTACAGGTGTGCAACAATACAAGTGACCGTAAGCATGCAGACATCATTCTGGAGCAATATGTGACGGAGACGGTCATGAGCATTGTAACAACTTTCTTCAGCTCGCCTTTTTCTGACCAGAGCACCAGCCTGCAGGTATGAAACCACAACATGTCTTAAGGGTTTTAAAACACTGTGTAAGAAAAAATACATTGAAGTTTAAAAGCACATTCAGTGATATCGAGAGTAAATGGTCAAATTAACCCAATGTTAATCCAAATAAAAATGCTTTGAGCTAAACCAGAATACTTGATCAATGTATGTTTGATAAATATGGACCTTTATTTGTCTCAATAGTATTTGAACAGATTGACAACATTTAATGTGGTAATTTGTAATCCGTAAAAGTAATACACTATTCATGAATACAAAAAGGTTTCTTGGCTCATAAATTATTTAGCCAGTTCGAAACAGTTCTTGAAATAAAAATCTATATAATGAAAAATTCCACAATTAAAATTTAATATAAACTTGCGGATTTGCAATCTACCCAAAACAAGTTTGTTTTGAAACAAACTTACCCCCAGTTTGGGCAAAAGTCCTACCATATCCTTCAAGTATGCATTTTATGAATAAAAACTGGAAGTGCAATTGTTGGGAAGATTGGTTAACAAATGGTTGTCATGTATTTATCAATTAATTTAATGTATTAACTAATATTTTGTATATTTGTGAAACCTTTTTGTGAATTACAAATCAATTTATATATTGCCCAAATATTTTTGTGAGTTTATTTATAATTTATTTGTATTTGTAAAAAGTGTTATATTTTACACATTGTTAAAACAAATTATCTTGAGATAAACCGTTCCCTGTGACATCAGTTGTAGTCACACATGCAGATTTGAACATGATGTACTGTATTTTAACAAAAACAGGTGTAATGTAAACGTATTGCTATGAACTTTAAATATAGACTTTACATGATCTCTGACTCACACAGCATGTCTGAAATGTCCTGTGCCCGTTCTTGTTAAAGGTCATCCTTCTCAGAATATACTAATGAAGAACCAAACCCTACCATTAAGCTGTTAATTCAGGGGCCTGCTTTGGTTTGCAGGCCGAGGAACCCTATCTATGAATAACATTTAGTTGCATATTAAACTGGGACTACAATAATGTGTAGGGTGGCCTAAAATGTAATGTATAAATATACCTCTTATGTTGCAGACAATTATAATCTATTAAAAGAATAATACTGCTACTGATATAGTAGGTGCAGCTCAGTTATTAAGCATAGCTTAGCTATAGTTTACGTGATTGCAAAAGGATTGATGGGTAACAGGTAGACCATCATCGGTGTTGTGTAAAAAAAGTTGTCTGTTTTTAATAAGCCAATTTATCTTTGCCTAAAATATATTGGATTCATGTTACCTAAATGTGTATTTTACGACTGTTAGGTCATGAACCAGTAGTTACGGCTGTAACTACGGTTCTATGAGTCCCGGATGACCGCCAGAGGCGGTGCTTTAAGCAATGGATATGTCCATCGCGCGCATGCGCAGCTCGAGTACCAATAACAACAAAGTCACCTGTGACTCGCGTGACACCGGCTATATCAGCCGGTGTCGTCAGAGGATCTGTTCCCAGAATCTTCTCGCGAGCACACAAGAATTCTGAGTGACAGGAAACTCTGGCGGTCATCCGGGACTCATAGAACCGTAGTTACAGCCGTAACTATCGTTCTATTTCGTCCCTACTGACCGCCAGAGGCGGTGCTTTAAGCACTGGATGACTTATACCAACAATGTCATGAAGAATCCAAGCCCTTGCTCACCACTGGAAGCAGCGGAGCTCGGCAAAAGGACCACGCCCAAAGAATGGGGAGTGGCGACATTGACCTGATGACAACTGAAGAATGTGCCAGAAGACGCCCACGACACCGCGGCGCAGATGGTCTCCAGGGGCACCACCCTTAGGGCAGCCCAAGATGTTGAGATGCTCCTTGTAGAGTGGCAATTCAGCCCGATTGCAGGGGGCGGCCACTGGCCCCGTAAGCCTGTGAGATGGTATCGACAACCCAGTGGGGCAGCCACTGGTTAGAGGGCATAACCTCCTTTAGTGCCGCCAGGGCAAAATCAAGAGTTGCTCCCACTGCCGTATACAGGCAGTAGCCTTGATATACGCCCTTTGGGCACCCCCAGGGCACAGCAACTTCGACGTGCCGTACTCCTGAATGTCGAGCGTGCCAGCTGGGCAGGCTGATTGAAGTGGGTTTGTGGAAGGACCCCGGGCAGGAATGCCACATTTGCCCAAAGGGCAACGCCTGAGAGTCCCACCTCGGGCATGTATAGTTTATGGAGGGGACATGCAACTCCCCGACTCGCTTCCCTGAGGCTATGGCAAGCAGAAATGCTGCCTTCGTGGGCAGCCACCTAAGCCCCACCTGGGCCAGGGGCTCGAAGGGAGGAGATGATAGGGCATCCGGCAGCAGGGGCAGGTCCCAAGCCGGAGCCCTCCGATCCGGCCCCGCCCCGGAGAGAGGACACTCCCCTACCGCGGTAGGGTAGGGCCGGGTCCCTCCCTGGTAAGGTGGTATCACCGTCTAACAGAGAGCGCGTCCTCACGCCACGGTCGAGGCCGGGGCGCCCCGTCCTGACAAGGGGTCCCCAAGTGCGCCCGGGCGGGACCTCGCCAAAAGTGCGGTACCAGTTAGCAGCCGATCCTCGAAGCGCGCGACACGCTCGAAAATGTGAAAGTGGCCGTGAAAGGATGGGGTGTGACCCCCAAAAAAAAACCTTTCTCCTACACGCAGCAAGGAACCCCTGTACGTACATGCACAACGAATCTGTTGTCAGGGAAGATCCTATCCACCTACAAGTAAGGTGAGGTGAGACTAAAATACGCCGACGGGGTAAAAAGACGCGGCCTGTAAACAAGCCAGCCTGCCGCGGGCCGCCGCCAACACGGTGTCGCAGCCTACAGGGAAGAAATATCTACACATCGGCCAGAAATGCCGCTCGCAGGGAGAC